TATTTGATCATATTCTTCTAACCTGGGCTTCCCAATAGAATGAAGCAAACTCCTTGTCCCGACAAAAACACCTTTTATTAATTTACTGTGAATTCTGCTCATTTGCATACAGCAAAGTCTTTCAAGGGAGGATTTACAGTCACAGACCATATCTGGTTTGCAGAGCTGACAGGCCAATATCTGCAAAATGTGGCAAGGAGCTTGGAGAGTCACGAACCAATTAAGGGAACTAATTGTCTCCTGCAAACTCCGCTCCCCTTTCACTCCTCTTTTATTTCCTCTGGGAGGGGCCATTCATCATCCACCTGTAGCCTTATTTCCAAGTCGACCCCTGTTGTTTAGCTTTCTCTTCGGCTGGCAACTCTGCGCATGCGCACACTGGGAACAGGCTCCAGCTGTTCATCTGCCTCACTGATGTCTGCCTCTGAAGTCAGATGCAATGGCCCGCTCTCTGCCTCTGACACAGAGCCCTCATCAGAGTCTTTCCCAGACTCCAAGACTGGCCCATGTTCCTCCCCAACCTCTTCACTGTCCGAATCTGCTGCCAGCTCTGCTGGCTACTGGCGGGCTACCACACATATCCTAGAAACTATCAATGGTAAAATGGAAAGTATGCAATAAAAAATAGGAAAATATGCTCACCTGGGCATAAGGAGAAATAAAGCTAGTAATGCACACCAAGCCAGCATCCGCAAATAATTTAGCAACCTCAGCAATCCGACGTACATTTTCTTCTCTGTCTTCTGGTGAAAAACCTAGATTCTTATTGAGGCCTTGTCTGATGTTGTCACCATCTAAAGTGTAGCATGGAATGCCATGGCATACTAGATATTCTTCAAGTGCCATACTAACAGTGGTCTTTCCAGCTCCAGATAGTCCTATGTAATTTTCAAACAAGCAAAGTATTAATCTGTTTCACCTAGGCAGACAACTATTTTTGCAAGAATAAGTTCCAGTGTTCGAAAAAGTGGAAAGACTGGCATTTATGCCTCTTGAAAATTTCAGTCAGCCTACCATATTAGCATAATAGCCTCATGATCTTTATTATATTTATGCCAAAATTAGCCACAATGTCCATGAAATAAAGGAACATAAAATCTGCATAGCGCATAAAAAACATTATGCAAAATATATATATTGTTTATGTATCCTGTATCATCAATTATAAGCAACAAATTAAAACGGCTCATAGAACAGCAATCATGGTCCAATTTTCTACAGTGTTCTTTATCTAAATTCATGTACATTCTTAGCCAAAAGACTTTTAAAATATAACTTTCAATTTTGATAAGAAAGTGATTATTTATACGACTCACCATGGGTTAAGATTTGCCAGTGCAATTCTGCTTGAAATAAGATCAAGAATAAGTCACAGGTTTCCTACCAGTATTTTCTTTTGCCAGTGTAACTGAGCAAATTTATCTTATCAGGTGCATGCAGAGATGTAAAATAAAAGAAGTATGATCACTGCACAATATTTTTTTTCTTAAGACAAAGGAATAAAGGAATCCTAAATTTCCTTTTTATATTTCCCAATGTTTCTTCTTCATTTATATAAAAGGGAAGGATATGCTCTACCTACTGTTTCTGATTCTGAAGTCTCATAATCACTTGGAAATAATGCAAAGGAAAGATATGATTTGTTTAAAAAATGAATGTAACACAATATGTCCTAAACTGCAATAATACATTTTTCCTCTTTCCAACAGAGTGATACTATTTGCCCAGTGGGCAATAAAGTAGCACACAATATCAGTTTGTGATACATACACAAACATACTCATAAAATACAAAATATAATACAAGTAGCAAGATAAAACAGTAAGGTAGAAAAGGTGCATCAGATTGAAGGTGATTTGAGATTTTATGCTCCTCAGACTTATTAAATTACTAACTGCTAATGATATTGAGAGAAAAATGGAAAAGTTAAAAGTAAACATATCTGTTAGGCAGCAGTTTTGTACCTGTTAACCATACTGTGCATCCCCGAAATCCACTTCTGGTCCCCACCACCTGGCCCCTCTTATTTCTGCTAACATGGTGGGCTTGATAGGTGACATTGGTAGCTCTCTGCATCCCCTGAAATAAAGAAAGATTAAAGGATAAAATGGCATTGCTTCTTAAAATC